TAATTGTCCATCTGTTTGTAGATGATAAGCAGTACTAAACTTCATTTCGTCCCTATGGCTATCTGCAAATTTTTCTATAATTTTGATCTGAACCTCGGGTCTCTATCTGAAACAGCGGTGACAAGAACTCCACATAGTCTGACTATCTCTCTGATATATAACTGTGTGAGTTGTTCCATACTAAAATTTACTTTAATTAGCAAAAAATGGGCCAACTTCATCAAACAATCAACTACTACCCAAATAGTATTGTGACCCCTTGCTAACCTTGGATAGTCTACCATAAAATCCATCGCTAAATGTTCTCATTTCCATTCTAGAATACACAACGGCTTCAGTAGTCCTGATGGTCTTTGATGTTCTGCCTTGGCTTGCTGATAGATGATACATTTCTCCACGAACAATCCAATTCTCTCTTCATGCTTCTCCACCAAGATGTATATTGGAGATTTCGATACATTTTTGTACTGCCTGAAAAATAATTTTCATAAGTACAATAATTCATCTGCATGAAAAATAATTTAAACGGGATAATATAAATTGCACCTCATAATCCTACCTCGCGAGATAAAACAGTTTTTGAAAGGCAAAATCCAAAATCACGTTCCAAACTTATTTTTCTACGTATTGCTGCTACCACCGTATGGGTATCTAAATTTTTCTAAGGTAAATAATAAGAATTTTGTATGGTATTTAAGGTTGAAATGGAACATTGGAGGACTAAAATCTATTAAAATGCCGTGTGTGAAAGCATATTTCACCCCATAAAAACGACTCTATCTCAAAAATCAATTCAATCAAAAATCACTTCCACTCGTTTTCACGTAAAATATCTTAATTCCATACAATCAATAGATATTTCTAATATTCACGTGGTAGTCTCACTGCAAAACAATTCCTAAAATCATGGCAATTAAATAATATTAAAATACAACTGGTTGACACCATTTCAATCTCCAAAATCAAGGCAAATTAATATTAAAACCTTTTATTTTATTTTATTTTATTTTATTTTTAACAATTTCTACACGTGCAGATAATTCAAAAAGAAGATAATTCCATACACGTGTCAGCAGCACCATTTTCATCCCAAGTTTTAATTGAATTTGAAAAAAAGTTTTTATCAACTTCTTCTAATGGTAATTTCTTGGTGCTGATTATCCAAATCGACTTTTTTTTCAAGTCTAGTATACATGATTGCAAGCTATCCAATGAGCTCAATATTGATATATTTATCATTACTCTATCAATATTTAATTATTTGACCTAATTAAAATTGAATATAATTTATTTATCATTTTAGTCCCCAACTTTCAAATTTTAAAATATAGTATATAAAATAAATAAATTCTAGTATGTGAAAGTTTTTGGGACTTTATAGAAGTCCAACTCTAATTGTACAATTATAAGGCAGAACTATTTATTTAAATTCTAATTCTAATTAAATATCAATCAGATTCAAAGTCTAATTCCAAAGCTTTAGGTTCGATTTATTTAATTAAAATCAAATTTAAATTAAACACCAAAATAGAGTCCGACTCTGATTTCATAAAATTTTAACTTGTAACAATTTAATTAAAATCAAATTTTAATTAAATGTCAAATTAGAGTTCAACTCTAATTTTAAGAATATATTGGGGTGAATAATTAAAATCAAAATTTAAATTGAATTAATATTCTAATTTAGGATAAAACTCCTAAATTAAATAAAATTCAATTTAGGATCAAAGTTTTATATTTAAGTTAAAATCCAAATTTAACTATAATATGAACGTCGTAAATTTTAAATAAAATTTTAATTTTGGTCAATATTAATAATATAGGTCATGACCCATTTGAATATCAAATATAAAACAATTTTAATATTTAAATTCAAAACTCCTTTTAAAATTTTCAAATTGACCCTTGGTTTAAAATTATAAGTAGGACCTTCCAATTTTTCGAATTGCAAATAGGCCTTCCTCTTATTATTTACAAACTGGCCCCATTTCTGTAATTGTAGGTGGGGCCCCACAATTTCATAAATTGCAACGGAGGCCCCACCCCAAATTCAAAATTCAAGATCTAAAACCATAGAATTGATCAAGTGCAATGTCGATAGCGACCGACGCCTCTTCTTACGACTGTGGCACTTTACATAGTAGCAGCAGCAGCAGCTGCGCGACAGTGCTATTGATTACAACTGTGTGGATGTAGCTACCAACGTTGCCTCGGGATGCCAATCGCTCGTGTGTACGGGGTTTTTGATAAATTAAAATATCCAATTTTAATTTATTATGAAATCACGTTCGTCATCCTAGATTACATATAACAATGTGTCAGGGCAATACATATGACAAAAAATGTCACATGGTATGACAAAACCAAACTTATCCATTTACCGTAAACTATAGTCCTTTCATCAATATGATCCGATCAATTACAAGATATAAATATGTGTCAATATCAATTATCAATCATATCTTTCATTTTACTATTTAATCAATGTAAGTCGAAAACTCCTTTGACTTATGAGTACACATTAACCAAAGATTTCATTATCAACTTAAGTGAATGAAACGTAGATCATAATATTTTACTATCAAAGAGTATCAATCATTTATTGATCATTCACAATCATCATACGATTCTCAGACGATATTGTATTATCAGCCCTTAGCAGAGGTTGCATCCATCATCACCAAAATATGACTGTGCTCATGTAAGGCACTATGATGACCTTGAGTCGAAGGGCCAATTCCACTAACAAATATTAGAGGTTAACCACTGACACTTAAATAGTTATCCACGTAGAATCTCCAAAGCGAGTCTCTAATTTTTCTTTTATAAAAAAGTATTCACGTGCTCATTTAAGTGTCACTATATAGCATATGAGATCAGGTACTATTTCTCATGTAAAAAATGTCACGCGTGATGAACTATCCTTTATATCGATATCTGTATTTCATTGTTGCTTACAACTACGGATAATTTAAAATTCAGTCATATTGTAATTTGTATCTCACAATCACAAATTTCTAAGACTTAAATCTACGGATTATATTATATAATATGATTTATCAGAATAGTAATTTAAATAAATAATATATCTTGTCAAAATAAATGTAATAAACATGTTAAAAGTGTTTATTACCTTAGGGCATGACACTTAAGGAAGAGGATGGGAAAGGTGAGAGGGAATTTTTTTTTTTAATAAAAAAAATCTTAATTTTAATTTTTTAATTATTTGTTAGGGAGTCATTTGTACTTTTTTGAAAATTTTGGGACTAATTCTTTATTTTTCTTCTTTTCATTTTGTTATATTAAAGAAGAGTGTATATTCATTTTGAGTTAAATAGTCGATCACTAACATTTATATCGATTACTGCTTACTTATCCAAGATAAAAAGTTTTCGACTACTCACCTACGTTTAGACATGGTTCATCATTCATCACCCATTTAAAATCCATCCATCTACATATATTAAAAAAAATCCATATGATATACAAAAATTATACGTGGATGTGACGGTGTTAAATTATTGACAGCTTGGACCAAAATTCAATTAATCAAAACAACTTTTTACTTACAAATTTCCAGCAGTGATTTTCCCCAAATTGAGATTCAATTCTCCCAAAATAAAACCCAAATCGATTTTCTCTCAAAGCAGAAACCCACTAAGATTAACTAAAATTCATCACCCCTCCGGCCACTGTAACCACTACGAACCCACAACCAATTCCACTGGATATTAAAAGTATGGATTCATAATTTTGATTAATTACTGTTCAGGTATGAGAGAAATAGTTTCTGCAGAACAAAATGATAATTGTATTGCAAGAGTAATTATAGATGTTAATGAGTAATCTTCAGATGTTTTGTAATTAATCTATTTAGTTAGCCTGCTACAAGGGTTCATATGGATTTGGGGATATCTCAAATTGGAGTTCAACATGCAACCGTTTTTTGATTTGGGGTGTTGGAGATGCTTTGGGTCGGATGTGAGGAAAATTGAATTATATCATGGAGAGGAAATTGATTTGGGTCTGATTTTAGGAGAATTGAATCTCGTCCTGGGGAAATCACGGTTGAAAATTTGGAAGAAAAAAATTATTTTGATTAATTGAATTTTGGTCCAAGCTATCAAAAATTTGACACCATTACGTTCACGTATTACTTGTGTCTTCCATGTGGATTTTTGTCCACGTAGACTGATGGATTTTAAATGGATGATGGATGAGTAACTTTGTTTAAAAGTGGGTGAAAAAGTGGTAACTTTTTTATTTTTGGATGAGCAAGTATTAGTCAAAGTCAAATCTTAGTGATTGACGATTTAATTAACTATTCATTATTTCACAAGGCTTTATTGAGAAATGGAAGAAACTGTAGTATTACGCAATTAAAAGGTCATTTGGGGGTAGGGGTGGGGTTTCACCAATTGAAACGATATGAGATATTTCACAATTGAGGTAAATTTAAGGGAGTTTTACTCCAATTATCCTAAAATTAGTCTTGTTTTCAAATATATTTTTAAAAATATTAAATCAAACAAGTTTTGCATGTTTTAGGAATCTGAAAACAGCTTCAAAATAATAAACCAAAGCCCCTTTAGGTTCTATATAAAGAAGCAATTTAAAGTTCAATAACCATTCAAAATGCCGAAAAAGTTTAGCAACCATGTGGTAACATGGTTTGTCCATACTGTGTCATGTCATCAACATCTTTAATTGAAGAGTTATATTACACGTATAGAAGAATTTCATTAAAAAAATTTACATATCGCAAATGTTCTATTTGATTCAAAAGTTAGGGGGGGAAAATCACCCATACATGTGTTGCCAACACAACATAAGGGATCTGTGTATGTAGCGAATTGTTCTTAATTGAATTCAGTTCATCATTAGAATAATTTTTAGTAGTTCAGTGACCATAGAAAAAATTTAATTGAATCTACATTTCAGTAACACAAGCTAAAGTTTACCACTGTATAGGAGCTCGATTTCATTTTAAACACGATTCATAAAAGTCGAAAATTCAAGAATGTAATTTTACGCATTAAGCCTTATTCCCGACATGAATTGTAAATACAACCATCAAAATTATTCTTCATGGCTAATATTCAGAAAAGCTCAATCCCTCTGCTCTTAACGAACACGCCAACACAGATCAGAACGTAGTAGGCATAAAACTTTAGGATTTTTTCTCGGCCCCTGTTCAGGCAGCACAACCCAAAACTTTATGCCTCGTAGACAAAAAAGTCCGGGTTTTGAGATTTCAAAATTTAGGAGGCCATCCCTTCTTACTAATAAAAGACGAAATCCTCAATGCTTTTCAAAGACATCGAATCAATAATTTCCCCATTGACACGTACTGTAAATGTGTAAATCTCATTACACCAACTTGATTAAGGGGTCGTAAAAAATTTCAGACGGGCATAACATCCACTCGAAAATTATTGTTCGCTACTTTTTGTGCATTTTAGATTCTGGCGAGTTTGGATGCAATGGCGAGAGAGGCTGCCTAAGTGAATATATGTCACTGAGATCAATTTTCTTATCCTGTGGACTGCTCGACTTAGGGCTAGATTTTCGTTTATTCCCCTGCAAGCAATTAAATGACACCATGAATACCACCACCTAAAAATTGTCCCAAGCAGATGGGCATTTCATGAAAAAAATGTATATAAGCAAAGCCGAACCTTCACAGAACCACTGCTCGAGTATTTTCCCCCAGAAGCAGCAGCAGCAGCAGTCTGTTCTCTGTAGCATCGCCTTATTAACCTTTTATTTTCCTTGTCTAATATGCTGTTTTCTCGAAACAGAAGTTTCACCTGAACACGCCAAAAAATTATATTTTATTATTCCTAGGCTATCCTCACATTGAACCATCTTTCAATTAATTATATACCTCCTCTTCAGCTCTATGCAGGTTAATCGTCAAATGATCCTTGTCTTTCTCCAAATTCTTCGCCTCAGCTACCAATGCCACAACATTCTGAGTAGATGGCCTTAAGCTACGATTAAAAGAACAACTTTAGCCAATTGACACAAGTTGTGAAAAGAAAGATCAAGAAACATTGAAGTCTAATATAGTTTATTTACCAGCATGTTCGTCAAAAGTTAAGCTGGAATATAAAACTCACCTGTACCACATTTTCAGAATCTTTTGGCAAACTTCAATTCCACCATAGGCCTCTAAAAACTCATGTGCAGTTGATTCGATCTCATCCTTGCCAAACATCGTTGCCAACAATGAATCAAGTAAAGTTTGTTCCATAGATGTGTCAGCACATGCATCAATCTTCAGCCATCACATCAATACGATAATTCGATTAGCAAACCAATACTCAGAATGCCTTAAATCACATAATGCAAAGTACAATCCATCTCATTATCTATAGCAGTATCAGGCAAGAAATAGAACTATAGAACGAAACCAGAAAATATTGGACGAAATAAAAATGTGAAAGTTAAATACAAGACAAATTCAACACAAAAATAAAATCAAGGAATTTACAGCATTATCATATCATGGTAACTTTCCTGCTCACAACATTCGAAATGTTTTCAACTTACACTTGTCAAGTTATCTACACTCCTTCCGACTTGTGACTCCCACTTTGGTCTCTTTTTCGTGTGTCAATTGATCTCCCACAGAAATTGGTCCGTCTTTTATAACATCGTCGATTTCTTGTAGCAATTACAATAGTATCTCTCCCATCTGATGATATTGAGTGATGATGCCACAATGCATTCTATTACATAACACATTTAAAGTCAGAAAAATAGGTCACCAACCCGTTGTCCATTTTGCAATTTTGTCCCCAGCCTTCCAAATATAGCATTATGGACCCCAATCTTCCACTTTGTTAAAACCATTCCCCAGAGAGAAGATTTCCTTACAAATTGAAGTTAAATAGCATATGAGGACAAGTGTCTTATGTTAACATAGCATAGGCTCCCTTGGCATAGTTTGTCCATGAGTTAGCATTTTATAGAAGCTAATCAATCAAAATATTTTTAATAAATTTAAGGGTCTGCTTGATAGAATTTATTTGGGAAAAACGAATTATTGAATAGTATTTTTTGGAAAATGTGAGGTTAAAAAGTAAAAAAACTTTATTGGTTTGTGTGTAAAATATCTTATTGTGTGAATGTATGGTGGAGAATGATCTGGTAACAAATAATTTAAATTTTTAAAGGATGGCAAACAAGGGCTAAGTAATTTAATTACCAGCTATACGGTATACAAGGCTATAAAAGGTAACATTCAGTAAAACAATGTCAAATTTAATTGTCAAACAGGAATATATAGACTGTCAGCTGGTTAACAGGATTCTCCTTCCCCCTAGAAGGCTTTCCAATTCCTACCCCTCCACAGCATACATATCAAACAATGAGGGGGCAGAATTCAGCTAGTACATTGCTAACCCCATCCCTCCCTAGATCTATCACACACTTAAGGTATCAAACAACAACTAATGAATGACCCAGTCCATCCACCAAAAATAAATGCATCAAGCATTCCACAAACTGGCCGAGTCTTGCAATGCAGTAGAAGATGACTCACACCCCCTCATTGATATCTTATGGCATCTCCACTATTTTCTTTCAAGTCGTGGGTCGGTGAATTTTACTTCCCTAAAAAGCTTTTCCAGGAAAAAACCTTCCTCTCATCATTTGCCAAAAGCTGTAAAGGACTTAACCATAAACAAGTATCCAAACAACCAAGTCCACTCACCAGCCACTAGAACTGAGGCCGAGGTATTATTAAGAAAACATAGCTGTTCTAAAGTAGATATTTACATACAACACACCATCTCAGCCGAATTAACCATTTTGACAACAGGGATCTACAAAGTTGATGAGCAATATTGAAGGATCTGAGGACTACTTGCCCTTTAAGAATTTCACCTTCGAGAACTGTCATACCACAAAGCCTACAAAGATGAAGAGTCTAGGGCAGTTTGTGGAACTTCATATAGGTAAAAGCAGACAGCTTACCTACAATTTCGCAAGACATCCTCTACGTTAAAGAAAAGACAATTGAGACCGATAGGTATGTCGAACTTTCAACAATTAAAATGGTAACACAAATGAGTTTCGCAATTACATGAATATTTGCAACATAAAGATAAAGTAATGATTGAACCTATTTCCTTCCTTTGACAAACAATTTAAAAAATACATTTACACAATATAAGCTTTCAATGAATTTATCGTCAAGAACAAGTTAAAAGCAAAACTCGAAACAACAGCAAATGATACAGAGTAACAGAAAATACAAACTACATCAAATATGAACAGCAAGGCACAAGAAATTATAGTCTATTCTTAACAAAATAGCTATGCACAGACTCTATAGCCAACATCTCCTAAAAGCAAAAATAAACACTGCCAAAACAAGAAAGAAAACACAGATAATGTCATAGTAAAGACTTACTTCTACTTTGTAAAATCTGAAGTGATACCAGACAAATTCAATGACTTGCCGACAATGACGTTGTTGTATAAGTATTGTCATGTTACTAGATATTCAACCTTCTGTTTGCTTTTTAAAAACAAATCATACTTCAACATTAGGAATCCCCACCAATCATACTAGACTACCACCCTATTTATCCTCATAGTCGCATAGTTCAATTACAATTTCAGATATAAGCTCCAGTAATTTAAATTTGAATTCAAATGTAATCAAGGATAATTAGTGCAAAGCTATAGCCATCAGGGAAGAGAATAGTAATATCAAGTTCAAATTAAATAACTCAATCAACAAGTGGAAGCTCAATCCATTACCATAAATTCCAACTAGATATTACTCAACTTTCCAACAGCACAAACTTACCAATTGCAGATGACACATAAAAATCTTCATAGTTGACTCAACGGAACTCAAAAGGATGGAACTAGTGTCATAGCTAACCAGGGGAAAAAAAAAGGAAAAAAAAAGGAAAAAAAAAAAGAAAGAAAGAAAAATAAAATCTTCTTTGTTTAGTTCAATTACATATTTTGTTGACATGATTATTATCAAAATATTCAAAAATCAATTGCTACTGAAGGAGACACTACAAATTGAAACAAACATATATTTCAAAGTCAAAGTAGAAAATGAAATCCAAGAAATTATAACACCAATCTAATGGTAACTAATTGGAAAAATTCTCAACAAATTTTTTGTTTAATAACTTCTACGGAAGGTGGACAGTTTAAATATACCCACTTATTTACTTAAGATGGAATCAAGTTGCACATTATGTTTACCCCATTGCAAGAAACCAATCTACCTGATTAATGAAATATTATATAGTAAATGAGTAAGCATCAAGCTGACACAAAGAAGACTTAAAACTCAACTGTTAAGAGGAAGAATACATGAATATTAGTAATCAGCAAAAGAAATTAAGGCCCCGTTTGGTAGGGATTTTGAGAATTGATTTTTTGACCGTTAGAAGAAAAGTGGGATCCACATGTGAAATAAAAAGTCAAAAATTACGGCTTGAATAATAAAATAACGGTCAAAAAATCAATTTTTTGGGACAAAAAATCCCTACCAAACGGGGCCTAAAATTAGATTCCAATTATGACACCGTTCAGTCTCTAACCCAAAGCTGGGCTTTATCTGGTCATTAAACTTAAAATGGAAGACACAAGGCATTTTCAGCACAACACGAACAAAAATAAAAATAAGAAAGGAAAAATAATCATTACAGTGTTAAAATATTAAACTTAATTTCATTCCTCTCAATTTTATTTTATTGCACAAGTGGCTTCTAGATGTTTTGTTCTTTATGTGTTAACGCCAAAACCAATTTCAGAAAGAAATAAAATATATAACAAACTTATACAATCTGTATCAGAACACAAATTAGAGGCATAAAATTTACCCTACACCTGTACCGCCCTTCTTGTCCCAAGAAAGAACATGAAACATCTTACATGGTACATTCTATTCTCTATAATGCCTAATTATCGAATCAATGATCCAACAATTCCTTAACTTTAAAATTCCAGAATAATGAATGAATGTACAAAATTAACTTGCACACATTTGGACCTCTATATGCATAATTTTCATTGCGAAAAGCAAGGCACACACTTCATCAAACCAAAATGCATCTCAATCAAAAAAATTTCGACCATGTGTAATATTTTTAGAAAACCTCAGAATTGCAGCAGTTAAAATTAAATTTCACCAAATATCGGTCTATTTAACAATTAATTTAAGCAAATATTATGAGCAATCAATTTCAGACTGAGATGTGCATCACACAACTTGTCCCAGCATCTGAAACATCAAAATAATAAATAGAACACTACAAGGAAAGCAATGGTTCAAATGAAGCACACAAAAGGATCTGAAATAACAAAGAACACTTTCTGTCTGCAACCCTAGGCATGCCTTCAACAATGATGTTTTAATACAGTCATGTTAAATTACACAAAGATTTCATTTAATCCACATCACTATATATCCATAGTTCTATGCACACAATCCATATGACCTCACAAGAGTACCTTCCAAGTGTCAACTAACTCCATTGGCTTATCATAAAGAATTCCCACGATATGTTCTTAATGGGCCATTGCTAAATTTTTATTTTCATAGGTAAATTGAGTATTTATTTTAAGTTCATCTGAAAGAATTTGATCAACTATAGAAAGTTCAACTAACCATGTTAAAACCTATTTGATCAACTATACCAAGACATTATACCAAAACATTATTACGCAAAGTTAACGGTAGCACCAACCTGTAGTTCCATAGTTTATGATCACCAGCAAACAAAAGTTTTGCGACTTCTCCAAAAACTCTTTAACTAACTCAAAAGCTAACAATTTTAAGCAACCATTGTCTTTCAGCATTATGTGTTCTTAACACAAAAAATAAGAAAGCAATTACATTATACACACTCAGTAAGACAAATATAAGAGCCTTGTCCTTTCTCTATATGCAACATCACATCAGTTAGTTTACATGATAACACTTGTGGCTTTATTAAATAAATTTCCAAATCTTGGTCCTATAAACCCAGCTTTCAATTAGCTACTGTGCTCTCTAATTTGTCTTGCATCAAGCTTGCATCTAGTTGTTGCTTTTTTGTACTTTTTCCAGTAATCACTTTGGTGGATTCGAAATGCTCGACTTTATTGATTTTCCAGCAAACTACTAGAAACTCATGCAGTCCAAGGGCAAGACTATTTCATCATTGAAAATCCCTTTGATTTCAAGATGCCAGTAATGACTATAGTGGCTTGGAAATCCTGGACTTACTGATTTTTTTCAGCAAACTGCTAGAAACTCATGCAGCCCAAGGGTGACAATATTCCATTATTGAAAAAGAACTTTGATTTCCAGGATGTATTATGATCATCGAAGTTTCCATTTTTCTAAATGAACAATTGAGTTCTCTAACAGAAAATGAAAATAAAAATAAATAAAAGAAGGCAATTATATAATACACGCTCAGTGAGACCAATTTGTTATCTTCATATTTTTCCTGTACTGTACCCAAAATCACTTCTTAGGTAAGTTAGCCCTACAAAACCTAAAGAACTTTGATTTCCAGGATGTATTATGATCATCGAAGTTTCCATTTTTCTAAATGAACAATTGAGTTCTCTAACAGAAAATAAAAATAAAAATAAATAAAAGAAGGCAATTATATAATACACGCTCAGTGAGACCAATTTGTTATCTTCATATTTTTCCTGTACTGTACCCAAAATCACTTCTTAGGTAAGTTAGCCCTACAAAACCCACGGCTTTCAATAAATTTCCAAATCTGGGCCCTAACCCGTATAATTAACTGCTACCCACACATAATTAACCATACAATCAGTAAGCAGTGAACCACATAAGTAAGCGTTAAAATGATTAAGAAAATTAGGTGAAGAAATTAATTTACCATCTGTGTATCGCATTGACACTTGTAGAGATGCAAATCCTCAGACAACTTCTTATTCTGCTCCTCCAATTCGTGGACCCGAATCTCTGCTTCCTTGGCCCTCTCATCTGCCTCATTTGCAAAATCCATCAAAGCCTCACGATCGTGATCATAAAGCGAGCACTCCCTCTCCCACTTATTGCATTGCGCCAACAGATTCGAACACTCCATGGCCAATTTCTGGTTCTCTTCGACAAATTTCTTCAGCGCTACGGCATTCATGCTTGCCTCCGCCTGAGAAATGGTCAAACATTAATAAAAATGAACAATATAGGTGACAGTAAATAAAAAAGGAAATTTAAGGAGTTGTAAAAGTGAAAACCCTAGAGCTGTCGATAACGTTGTCCTTTTCTTTGAGTTTGGAATGGAGACACAAGTACTGATTGCGAAGGCGAAGGCGAGCATCTTCGGAGGCGAGGAGTTTGAGTTGCAATGTATCTGCAGATACTGGGAGTCCCAAAGCGTCATCAATCGATTCTTTGATGTAATCATCAGATTCTTGTGGTAATTCCATCGAGAAAAATACCCTAGGGTTTGTTGTTTGATTCTCAGAAGAACTAATGATAGGTTTCTGGAAACAAAATTCAATACACTCTAAGTTAGTTTTGATCTTGACCAAGAAATAAAACCTATACTATAAAATTGTAGGAGATGAAATCTAGTGTATGAAGCGAGATAGGGAAGAAACGGTTTTGTTACGTGTGTCTGGTCCGAATTGATTTCAAATTGGGAATTAGAAAGGCAGACCGGCTAGCCGTTGGAGGTGGGTAAATTTCGTCCTCGGACACAGAACTTTCAGTTAAATTTCAATTGGGTCACTAAACTTCAAATTAGCTTCAAATAGTATCACACGCTCTCATTTTATGTTACCTGCCATCCTCCAAACTTCCAAAAATTTCTTAATTAGTGGTCATATCGTAGTTGATCTTCCACATAATCACTATGCATCACTCACAAAATGAAAAATCGTAATATTAGAATTACTACAATATGTTTAGATTAGATTGTTAAAATATGTATTTTTTATTTAACATTTTTATGACATCGTGAAATAGTAGGTAGGTATGTCATGCAACTATTATGTGGAATATCTTTGTAGTATGACCGTCAAATTAAGCAATTTACAGCACATATGACGAAGTGATGAATTTCGAAACTAAATTGAAGTTGATTGACCAATTGAAATTTAGTGACCCAATTGATACAAACTAAAACCATGAAATTTTATTTCAATTGGGTCACTAAATTTAATTTATTGCAAACTAATCATCTAGTTTTAAAATTTGTTTCATCGTGCTCACTAATTTTTAATTTATTCCACATCATTGAAATATGAAATTTGTTTCTCACACCTAATTATCCTTTTACAACGCAAAAATAGTCCACATACATTAGCATCAATCCAAGAAGATTTCAAATGAGCCATCCCTCTAAAATAGGGTAAAAGCAAGACAAAATCCGATTGATATCTCGTTGATTCCCAACAAATACCTCAACACGATTGACTTTCCAGTTTTTGGTTAATTCCTAATAATACAAGAACTCAATGATTCGTGTACGAATACTAAGTATGCACAATTCAATTCAAGAAAAGAGCTGAGAATCACAACTTATTTTGTAAATGGAACTGTCAATTCCAATGAATTATATGGAACCAACCTGGATTTTTGTAAGTAGAGTTTTCGAAGTTGTAATATTTCTAGCAACTATTTTCATTCTCATTGTTTAAACCAACACAGTAATCTAACAAATTCATAACTTCCAAAAACTTAACCCATTCATAAAAAGAACAATTTATCATGCTTTGAACTCAAGTTTCGTCTTAAAAAATTAAATAACAGACTTATACAAAAAGTATATTTTATTTTTATGGGTTGAATTTTCAGAAAAAAATAATAGGGTCAATTCAATTAATTAGTTTTGGATCCAGAATCGATTACCAAACCAATAACGATCGGTTCTAATACCAATGACAAGATTTAAACCTTAGAAAAACAAAATTGAACCACTTGGTTTTATAGACTATTTTTATCCTTCCCTAATGAATACCAAAAATTTAAGAAATTGAAAATTTTCTTATTTAGAAACAATCAAAAGAAAACTGAGTTCTTATGAGAGTATAAATAATAACAAAACACGAACAAAAAAAATACCTAATACAAGAGAATGATTAAAATATACTTATACTAATTAGCAAATGATGACAATTAAAACAAAACTAAAAACAACATGTCCTAGAATCTTATGCCACATTCATCCAATGCATCAAGACATTAGTGATCTATCACATAATTTTGCGAAGCACATAATAGCGAATTCTTCTTATAAGTGTATTTATTACACTTATCTCAGTTGTTAAACTAGAGCAATTATTGTTATATATATTTCGTTTGTTAGGTGCATCTCAATGAAAAAAGATGGAAGTGGACAAAAGTAATGAAAATTGGCCAAAATGAACTGAATCCAAAGTTTGGGGACTAAATTGCAAAGGTCTAATAGTTGATTCAGACCCAATATCGACGATTGGAAAAGGTTTGGAGTCAATTAGATGAAATTGGAAGTTGAAGGACCAAGAAGACATCAAACGGAGCTAAAATGACTGAAGATCGAAATTGAGGGACCAAAGTACAACAAAAGAAAGATTTTTGTAATGGCAGCTGTACATAGGTTTAAAGTGGCACGCGCATGGGACCCTGTTGTGGTCTTATCGAGAGCAAAACCCATAAAAGCATGCGTGCAGTGGTATATATGGCAAGCATCTGGCCAAATTTTGGGCCCGAATAGCCCAACGTTATTCTTTTAACCTAAACTTATATGGAAATCAATTTTAACCTACTATTTAAGTTACAATGTGGAAACCACATTATCATACATATTTTTCAGTACAAGGAGGCTAGCAGGGGATTCAAAGGTGGTTAACAAGAGAGAGTCAATATTCAAAGTCCGAATTGAATATTAACGAAAAAGAAATTGATTTTTCATTTTTCAATCATTATTTTCAATTTTGGGTGATGTTGTGCCAAATATTTTTGTGTGATTTATTAAATAATGTACAAGGCTAATTCTTTTCAAGTATTAGATGAAAATGAAATCTTTTATTATTTATTTTTGATTCAAGACTATTGATTAATCTTTCATGGGTTTTATTATTTGATTCCTTGATCACCAATTGAATATATGGTTGCTTGTTGTAGTACTAGGAGGCTCACAATAGGTTTAGAATATTACTTGATTAACATATGTGCAATAAATATTGGGAATAATATTTATCACGTGTGCAATCTTTGTGATAATTGTGAAATTTAATGCATTCTTTTTCATTCGAATTCGAACTGGGAATAGATTCGAGCTATGACTAAAATAGATTTAATTGATCTTGGAAAAAAAAAATTCAATAGAATTATTGATTATCAATAATACATGAACGAAATTAGCTACATAATTGAGAATTCAAATAGATAATAATAGATGGATTTGTAATTCAATACCTCATTCAATATACATACTAAATTCAAATTTTAAAAGGTTCATTAGATTAAGTTAGAATAATTCAAAATCACAAATCAGTTTTGTTTGCTCATTCTGAATCTAATTAAAAACTAGTACACTCAATTAAATTGTATTCCTGGTGAAACAACATATGTTACTCATCATGTATTACTTTTAAACGATCCCGTACATTTGTGGGATTTTACCAAACAAGTTTTTAGCGTCATTGTCGGGAAATAATTTATATAATTTGAGTTTATTAGGTATTTTTATATTTGAATTTTTTTTTATTAGTTTTAGCTATTTATGGAACGAACTATATCTCTTGTTTTGCTCTTTTTAGGAAATCACAGTTTATGCTAATTTTTGATGAGATCGAACTTCTTCTAATAGATCCTGAAATCAAAAGTGTAACGCCCCAAATTTTATCGACTTAAATTTTGAGGTGTTACCGATATCATTCTCCTTTGAGTCTTCTCAAATGTGTTAGTATATTTGATTGATCACCGATTGCTTTTGATGAAATGATGGTATGAAATGTTATAACTTCATGTTTAAAAAGTTATTAGTAACTCCCCGAAAATTTTAGAATAAAATTATTGTTTGTTATATTGTTATATTTTGAGAAAATTGTGGACCAAAAGGAAATAAGTTTTGAATTCCTATTTTATTTGGGCCAAATAATTAAGTATTAATAGAATGAAATTTTATATATCGATATTGGGCTCATTTTGTAGTCCGAATTAAATAATGTAGGTTGGCCTCAAGAAAATATAAGGTCATATAAGTTAAGCCCAAGATAAATTAAATGAAAGAAATGTATTTAATATGTATTTTTTAATGTATTTTTTTAAGATAATTAGCAAAAGATTATAATATTTTAATCACGTTTATCTTTATAATTTGAAAAAGACGGAATCATATCCAATTCTGTTCCTTCATTTGAAATATTATTTTATACAGTTACGTTTAAGATTTAATCTTACCCAAATTCTGCTTTCTCCATTTGATAACCACTGTAACAAATCAATTTCCTCCAATTGGTGCACATGTGTTGCAAGTAGTATTATATTATATAAAAAAGGTTGAACCCCAACCTTAAGAGCCCCCACCGACTCTGCCCTGAGCCATCGTGGAGGAGGTAAATCGCAGGATGTGCCTCCTAGGAGCCAGGGTGGAGAGCACATGGATAGGTCAATGCTGTTAACTCATATGGTAACTCCCGCTTGCAACAAAGTCAATTCCACTTTGCGGGGAATCGAACTCTGCACACTGTCGCGCTGAGCCCTATCCGCCCTCCCCTTTGCCACTGGGAGATATGCCCTGGGGGCTAGTATTATATTATATAATACAATTAATCTTTGTTCTATTCTATCAAAGTTGTTAATTGATTTACACGTAACCAAAATCTGTTTATTTTTATTTTGCCATGTGGTAAGTGTGCTTGTTTGTTTTAAAAATCTTAATCGTGTATATGAATAGATGAAAGGAGGTTTCGATTTTTTAAATTCAAATAATTCCCGTTATATGATTTTTATGTGTGATTAATTTATTTTTAAGTTGAGAATATATCTAATCTTAATCTTAATCTTTTTTCTTTTTTTTTTTCTTTTTTTTTGGGTTTAAATCACAAAAGGATATTTGCAACAAATCTTGTTTATATAGCATGTGGATTAATATGTTTAGTATTTTTTTGAAAGAAAATCGAGTGATCAATATTTGAAAATTTAAGATCCAAAAAAATTATCCTAACCCTTATCAACTACTTTATGTTGCCTATAAATATTAATGCCATACACATATTTTGGCAAGAATACACTATCTTTAACTTTGGTTCTATTCTTTAAATTCAGTAGTTTCCTTGCTTCTTATGTTCATCTATTCCACGAACATACACGGCTTCTCAATCTCAAAGGCATCAAGACTCCTTTTTTTACTATAAATATTCTACAAAAGTCAAATTGTTGGCACATATTTTAAAAGCAGAAAGCCATTCTCCATCTTTAATTACGTTCAAGGTAGCCGCAAAAGTCTAAAAATTGAAATATTCTCTTGGATTATTCTTTCAAAAAATTGTTGATCTAACGAGGTAGAATACTATGTACAAGTGATCTGTCCTTACAATGTTATAATTTTTTTCTACGTGATTTATTTCATGAGATGCTAATTGACCTGCAGGTCCATATGAAATGAAATGTGAGATCTCCTTTAGGTCTTCTCAAATGTGTCAGAGTATTCGATTGATTACCGATTGCTCTTGATGAAATGGTATGGAATGTTATAAATTCATGTTTTAAAAGTTATTATATTGTTTGGACACACGTATCCAACTGAGTATCAATTACTAACAGCTTTAATTTTAACATTTCAGGTTAGGACGGTCGACGTGGATGGTGGCCGAGCAGTGCGCGAGCTGCCAAGTAAATTTTTTTTTTTTTTTTGGGTAACCTTCAACAATAAATTTGTTAGAGTATTTTGTGTGTGTGTCTGTGTGTGTGTGTGTGTTTTTTTTTTATTTCCATCAAATGTTCTAAACTTTATGACATCATGCTTATTTAATTCAATATTTAAGTATTCAATAAATCTTAGTTTTAATTTCCAATTAAATATTTCTGCTTCAAGTGTGATTATGAAATGATATTTATAACATCTCAAAATATAAGTCGAGAAAATTTGAGGCATTACAGAAAGAACTTTCAGATAATGAAGAAGAGAGTAGAGACATGCAAGAGAAATGACAGAAAATCAACATTAGAATCAGGTTCAGAACCCATTATGACTACCCTCAACTAGATCAGCTAAGGACAATTGCAAGTCTAAGTGAAACTTTAGTAATGGATTATTAAATTCAATTCTGGCTCCTTTGCAACCACCTATTATATATCCACCTTTTGGACATGCCAACTTCCATATTAGACCTGACATCATCAACTTATTTTAGAATCATCATGATATCAGGTTCTCTGGGAGATCAACAGAAAATCCTCATGAATGTATTCGAGCCTTCTTGATGCCTTGCAACATGATCAGCCCGAAGGCGTGTCTGTTGATACCTTTCGACTGCGTCTATTTCTCACACTTTAAAGGAAGGCACATGAGAATGTTAAGTTCCTTAATTCCACGTCATTTCATGGAATGATATGGTACATAAGTTCACATTGAAATTCTTCTCGCCATCTTGAGTCTATCATATAAAAAATGAAGTTCATATCTTCAAGCAAAAGGACCTCGAGAGCTATCTAGAAGCATGGGTTCAAAGATTACTTCAGGAAGTGTCCCACTATGGACATTCCTAAAGAATCAAAGATTTGTGTATTCTATTCAGGCATGAGACCTGAGACTCGCCACATGAGGGTCAATATTGGATATTCTTTTGGATAAAGCCTTAGACCTTTTTGAGAGAATTGTATAAAATCAGTCCATGTGTCTAACAGACAAGGAAGTACCAAGGAAGATAGAAGGAGTACACAACGTTGACACAACTGCATCAATAGTAGCCCAAAATGGAAGTATTGACAAGGAAATTAGATAGCCTTATTCAGTGTGAACATCATACACTATCCCGAAAACCTATTTACGAAGGGTGCAGGGCAAATCATATTATAGAAAGATGATCTTTAGCCTTACACATATAATCCAACTTGAGGAGGTTAGTTATGCACAAAACTTTCAGAGGCAACAGAACAACCCTCACTCCAACACATATAATTTAGGGTAGAGGAATCATCCAAATTTCTCATGGGCTGATAATAAAGGGTAAATTGGAAAATTTTAAACTAAACCATCGAATTCCAACGACAACAATAGCAACAATAACCTAGAAAAGCCATCAGTTGAAGATTTATTGGGATAATACATGGCAAAGACTGAAACTATTTTTTAGAACCAAAATGCAATAATAAAAAATTTGGAAACTCAAACAGGTCAGATGGCAGCTACATTAGCAAGTAGAACTCAAGGGACCTTACCTATCGAAAATAAATCCTAAAGAACATATACAAGCCATTATTACTCGAAGTAGAGTTCAATTGCTAGAAATATCAGTGAAAAGACTAGCCGTCACTATGGAAAATGTACCTACCATGGGCGAGGAACAAATTGATTAGTCTGATAAAATAGCAGAAGAAACTCAAAAAGCTACAACAGACTGTCCACAGGTTAAGGCAACCGTTTCTGTCAAAGCATGGAATCCAAGGATGTCCCTCTCATTCAAGGTTGTCCATTCTTGGCTACCAGTAGAGATTTGATAGATATGCAAAAGGGACAGTTGATCTTTAGATTGAATGATGAAGAAATGACAATCAACAATACAATGCGTTTAAATTTGATGATGAACTAGATTCTTGTTTCCGATTGATTTATTTGACATGACAGTGATATATACATTCAGACTCAATTACCCTTAAGATCCACTTAAGATTTTGCTTAGTTCATTCAATAGAAGAGCCATCTGAATCAGAGAAGATAGAAGAATGTGTCCGACAATTGGAAAAAAAACCCTCCCTTAATGAGATCAACTCAATTGAAGCTAGGTGAAGGGTTAATTAAATCTTTAACTTCTATTCAAAAAGTTCCAACTCTTGAGCTTAAATAGTTGCCTTCACACTTGAGTTCTTGGGAGACAAACACACTCTTCCAACCATTATCTCAAATGTCGTCAACAAAGATAAAGAAGCTCAGTTAATAAGAGTACTTTGAGATTACAAAACAACAATAGGATGTACCATCTTTGATATAAAGGGATCAACCCTTCTTTTTGTATGCACAAAATTCTAATGGGAGAAGAGTTTAAACCATTTATGGAGCGACATCATAGATTAAATTCAAATATGCAGGAGGTTGTGTAGATAGAATTGCTGAGACACAAGGATCATATATCCTATATCAGACAATCATTGGGTGAATCAAGTGCATGTAGTCCCTAAAAAGGAAGGAATTATAGTAGTGCCCAATGACAACAATGAGTTGATTCTTATGTGCACAGTCACGGGTTAGAGTGTTTGCATTGATTATTACAAACTCAACAATGCCACGAGGAACGATCACTTTTCCCATTTCTTCATTGATCAGATATTAGAGCAACTCGCTAGACATTCACATTATTGCTTTTTTGGATGGGTATCCAAGGTATAATCAAATTTCTATAGCACCAGAATACCAAGAGAAAACCACCATTACTTGTCTTTATGGTACCTTTGCATGCAGAAGAATGCCTTTTAGATTGTATAATGCTCCAGCTATTTTTCAAAGGTGAATGATGTCCAATTTTTCAGATATGGTGGGTAGAAGCAAAGAAGTATTTATGGAAAATTTCTCAGTATTTGGTACATCATTCAATGAATGCTTAAATCACTTGAGATTGGTATTGTAGCGATGTATAGAAACCAATCTTGTGCTTAATTGGGAGAAGTGCCACGTTATGGTTTAGGAAGGAATTGTTTTGGGTCATATGATTTCAGCTAGGGGTATTGAGGTCAATAGATCTAAGAACAAATGATTGAGAAGCTGTTTCCTCCTACTTCAGTGATGGGAATCAAAAGTTTTTTAGGACATGCAAGTTTTTATAGGCATTTTACTAAGGATTTTTAAAAAATAACCAAGCCTCTCTGTACTTTATTGGAAAAAGAACATGCATTTTAACTTTTCATAGGAGTGTTTGGTTGCCTTCACCACCTTGAAAGAAAATTGATCACAACCCCTATATTAGCTGCACTTGACTAGATTTTGCCATTTGAATTGATATTCGACACATGTGATTACATGATTGGAGCAATTTTGGGACAGTGAAAGAATAAAGTGTTATATGTATTGACTATGCCAATTGAAGCTCGGTTGAACTACACGACTACGGAAAATGAGCTTTTGACAGTGGTGTTCATCTTTGATAAATTTAGACCTTACTTGATTGGGTCAAACGTGATAGTATATATAGATCATTCAGTACTCAAGTATTTGCTCAATAAGAAGGATGCAAAGCCAAGACTCATTAGATGGTTACTTCTACTATAGGAATTCGACTTGAAAATCAAGGATAAAATGAGAAGTGAAAATTTAATAGCAGACCATTTATCTCATTTGGAACAACAAGACAAAGATCCTACATATGAGATACTTTTTGAGATTAAGTCAGCACCTTGGTATGCATATTATGTCAATTATTTGGTTAGTTCTGTTATTCAATCGAAGTATTCCAGTTAGCAGAATAAGAAATTTTTAAGTGATCTGAAACATTACTTTTGGGATGATATGTTTCACTATAGACGAGGTCTTGATCAAATCATTAGTCGTTGTGTACTAGGAGAAGAACAAAAATAATTATTGGAGCATTGTCACTCTTCTCTGTATGAAGGTTACTTCGCATCAACCAAAACAATAGCTAAAGTCTTATAATTAGGTTTTTATTGGCCAATTCTTTTTAAGAATGTTTATGACTTAGTCAAGAAGTGTGATAAATATCAGAGGATGGGATACATCTCTGGAAAGAATAAAATGCCTCTGAATGGCATTTTAGAAGTAGAAATTTTCGATGTTAGAAATTTTCGATGTGTGGGGTGTTAACTTCATGAGACCATTCCTTTCTTCCTATGGTCAACAATATATCTTGGTAGCTGTAGATCATGTGTCTAAATGGGTTGAAGCTGTGGCATTACCAACCAATTATGGGCTGGTTGTGACTCAGTTTCTTAAATAGAATTTCTTTTCTAGGTATGGTACTCCACGGGCAATCAGTGATGGGGGGAAAAACTTTTGTACCCACTTATTCTTAGCTTTATTGGCAAAATACAGAGTCAAATATCGGGTTGCAACACCTTATCATCCACAAACTAGTGGGCAAGTTGAGATCTCCAACAGGGAGTTAAAGAAAATCCTAAAAGCTACAATTAATGCATTGCGTACAGATTGGTCAAAGAAGTTAGGTGATGCACTTTGGGTACTGCACTACATTCAAAACACCTATCGAGATGTCTCCTTTATCAATTAGTGTTAAGAAAAGCATGTCACTTACCAGTTGAATTGTGGCACATGACATATTGGGCAACTCACATGTAAAATTTTGATATGAAGGCAGTTGGGAAAAAAAGAATCATTCAACTAAATAAGCTTGATGAGTTTAGATTAGGGGCATATGAAATTGCAAAGTTATACAAAGAGAAAACTGAAAGATATCATGATAGACACATTAAAGAAAAAGAGTTCGAGGTTGAGCAACACGTTCTCATCTTCAATTTTCTTCTTCAACTTTTTCCAGGCAAGTTAAGATCAAGGTGGTTAGGTTCATTCACAGTGGTAGCTGTCCATCCATATGACACTATTGAGGTTGTATCTCAAGATGACCAACGAAGATTTAAGGACAATGGACAGAGGTTGAAAGCTTATTGGAGAGGTGATTACTTCAGTGAGAAGACAATTCTGCCACTTGAGGATCCAAAATAGCCTAAACAACAAAGTCAAGCTAAAGACCATGAACGCTTTGGGAGGTAACCCAATCTTTTTCCCTTTTATTTATTTAGTTTTTATGCATTAGTTAGGATCATTCACGTTTTTGTGTGTTTAAATTAGTTTAGACGTTTAATTATGTGTGTAGTTCATACATGTTCACATATTGCTTACATTAAGTTTAGAGGTTCAATAAAGTAAATAGGTGATTTTCTGTGAATCATTGGTCAGAATAAAGTTTTATGCAACCCCATCACATTTGATCCCTTTTGAACAAGTTTTGCATGAAATTTGAGGGTAGAGGCATCGAAAGTTTTTTATTTTATATTAAAAAACTAGTCGACGCGTGTGGTCTCGCATACCCAGAACGAAATAGGGGCTAAAAGGCTTTAGCCATGCACACTACTCACAAAGCTACACATACACGCGACTAATTGGTGGTTGGGTTCAAAAATTGTACATGTGTACACATGCAACCACTGAAGACCTGGTGCCTCTCCCTCGCTTTATCTCTAATTTTCTTACACTGTTCATCAAAATCATCCAATTTCTTCCGTAATTGACAAGGCTATGAAGATGTACCTCATTCCAACATCAATCATTAACTTCTACCTGCAAAATTTTAAGATAACAATGGTAAGATGTCTAACTTTGACAATTTTGATTTTTTTAAGTTTTGCATTTTGTTGGAGATTTTCAAGTTCTGCTGGAGTGTGGGCATAGATAGATGATGGATTTGTGAATTTGTTGTGGAATTAGTGGATTTTACATAGGAGAAATTTAAAATTCTACAAACATCTCAAACCTTTTGTATGTTAAGTGTTCGATAAATTGTCTCAGTGGCATTTTTGTATGACATGTAATACATACACACGTAACACTCTATGTAGTTGCATCCATCAAATTTCATGAATTGAATAAAAAGATTGAGGGCCCTTGAGTCCCCCACAGCCATGCCTACGACCATGTTTTCATCCCGATTAATGCGGCGTCGGCTACCAAGATATAACGATTCATCCGACAACAGAGACAAGGAGAGATAGGACCAAGAGGATATAGAGCCGGATGATCACATTCTACCTCCCACAAAGCTAGAGCCAGCACATGATTTGCAGGTTATGCAATAGTTGTTTGCTAATATGACAAAGACCAACAAGACATTGCAATATATAGAGCCAATGATGATAACTTTATAGTCCAAGAAGCAAGTAAGAGATGATATGGAGCATGCATGGAATGCCAGGATGTAGGGTATAGAGCGAGATATTAGCAGGTTATCGAGTGAGCTATTTGACTTTCTGTGGAGAGGATGACCTCAGGGGAAGACAGTTAGATATATGCATAGGATGGTTTGAGGACATGAACATCAGAAATTGGAAGACATAAATACAAGAGAGAAGGTCATGTACAGCAGATCAGAGGACACGCACAAATAGATTGGTCAGATGTGTGTGTTATGATGCGAGACTTTACTCAATCCATTCATTAGGCGCCATCCACGTCAAACCCATCTGGTTTTGGAGCTTCAATGTCATTCCATCCACCACCCACGAATTGATGCCAGGGAAGTACCAATTTCTTTTTGGATCATGCTATACTTACAAACTTTTTTTTACAAAATTCTTTACTCACTACTCACAATAGGATGTGAGGACCATAAGCCAACATTTTTAAATTCACGTGGGGCCCACTTGTTTGTGATAGTAAGTAACGAATTTTGTATACATTTGTTTGTACATATATATTTATCCTTTCTTTTTTGTCCTTACCTTTTGTTTATTACTTGTACTATTTCTAGACATTGAGGACAATATCTATATCAAGTTTAGGGATAGGTCTTTCATCCAGTCTTTGTTTTAAAGCCTTGTATGATTGAGTAAAAAAAAAAAAAAAGTCTACTTTTTCAATTTTATTTCTTCTTTTATATATTGTTGCATGCTTGTACGGGTCGAATAATATGCTAACAATGATGAAGATATTGGAGCATAGAGTTAGGTTTTAAATTATGGATAATTTGTGTTAAGTTAATTTATATATATATATATATATATATATATATTCATATTGATGAGTAGGTGAAAATTAATGGACATTAGATGCTTAACCTAAACATTAACTATGTTATACATCCTTAAACCAATTTTAGGATAGTTTTGGGGTAATTGAGCTGCTGTTGGGAGACAGAGAGACAAACGTGGATTTCATGTGTGTTAAATTTTGTGTGAATTGTCTGAAACAAATAAGATGAAATTAGGTTAAAATCTTAAGTTGGTGTTTGATTTTTGAGAATAAGTGTTTAATAATAGGCATTGTACCAATCATTGAAAAAAGAAGAAAAAAAGAATTGTCTTATTTTGAAGCTTCTCTTCGTAGCCTTTTTGACTCGAGTGATTAAATCTGCAAAGGTATCTAAAAATCTGGTGCCATATGGTCATTTGACTTGGGAGTCATCGACCGAAAGCTGATTACAAGAGTTATTTAGAAAGTTTAATGAGGAGGAGTTTGCAGAAAAGATGAGAAAAATAGTATACAGCTATATGCCTTAATTAATCCCAAACATTTACTGGAGAGAATTAGACTTTTGACGAGGGATTGTTAGCTTAATTGATTCATAGAAATTGAAGCAATCAAAAATAAGGAAAATCTTCATTTGTCAATGTGTTGAGCTACAAGTAGTAAAATCTAACTAAACTAGAGAGGGTGATGATTAGTATTTCATTAAAATTCAACCTCAAAACACCCCTTGGGCAAGAGTGGAAAGAAAAAATTTGGGAGTGTGTATTCTAAAAGCGAAGAATTGAAATATTTGGCCACATAAGGTCGGAAATTGAATCAATTTATGACTTTGTGATGTTTTACATGAATCTTCATACACATGTCAATTTTGCATTAGATTGGTAGAGATAAATTTGACATTGTATTTTGAAATATTTTATAGTTTCAACTCTAAAAGTCCAATCTTGAGGCTACAAGCAAATTATCATCCAAGTAATTTTATAAAAACTTTGTGTACTTTAAGCTTCATCTTGTTTGAGGAAAAGCAATTATTCAAGTTTGGGGGTAATTGGGTAAGTATATTTATTACACTTACTTTAGTCGTTAAGTTAGAGCAATTATTGTTATATTAAATGAATTGAGGCTTAATTTTTATATATTTCATTTGTTAGGGGCATCTCAATGAAAAACGATGAAAGTGGACAAAAGGAGGGAAAATTGGCCAAAAGGACTAAATCCATAGTTTGGGGACTAAATTGCAGAGTGCTAATAGTTTATTTGGATCCAATATCGATGATTGGAAAAGATATGGAGTCAACTAGATGAAATTGGAAGCTAAAGGACCAAGGAGACAAAAAAGAGCTAAAATCAATGAAGACTGAAATTAAAGGACCAAAGTGCAACAAAAGAAAATTTTTTGTAACAGCGCGCATACAGGCTAAAAGTGGCACTTTTGGGGGACCTTACTGTGGTCTTGCTGAGAGCGAAATCCATAGACAGCGCGTGTGCAGTGGATTATATGGCAAGCACGTGGGCAAATTTCGGTCCCGAACTACCTAACGTTCTCTTTTGACCTAAATTTGCACGGAAATTTATTTTGACCTACTATTTAATTTGCAAGGGAACGCTAGAATGGAAACTACATTATTACATATATTTTCAACTGCAAGAAGGAGGCTAGCACAAGATTCAAAGGAGATTAACACGAGAGATAGAAGATTTAAAGTCCGGGTTGAAGATTAATGAAGAAAAAATTGATTTTTCACTTTCCAATCATTGTTTCTAATTTCGGGTGATGTTTTTCCAAATCTTTTTGTGTGATTTATTAAATAACATGCTAGACTAATTTTTTCATGAGTTGGATGAAGATGAAACCTTTCTATAATTTATTTTTAATTCAAGACAAGTAACTTAATTAAATTCTTGCAACTCTTGATTAATATTGCATGCCTAATTTTATTATTTGATTGGTTGATCACCAATTGAATACATGGAAGCTTGTTTTAGTATTGGGAGGCTCACAATAGATCTAGAATACTACTTGATTAATATATGTACAATAAATGTTAAGAATAATATATATCACGGGTGGAATCTTTGAGATAATTGTGAAATTTAATGCATTTTATTCATTCAAATTTGATCCAGGAATAGATTCGGGTCATGACTAGAATAAATTTAATTTGTCTTGAAAAATAAAATTAACTGCAACAGAATTATCTATTGTCAAAAATGCATTAATGAAACTAGCTACATAATTGAGAATTGGATTAGGTTTTTTAGGTGGATTCGTAATTCAAGACACTCATTCTATACATATACTAAATTCAAATTTAATAAGCATTTGTCGATCAAGTTAGAATAATAAAAACCACAAATCACTTTTGTTTGTTCACTTTGAATCTAATTAAAGATTAATATGCTCAATTAAATTTTATTCCTTGTGAGACGATAGACATCACTAACTTATCAATGATCCTGTACACATGCAAAATTTTACCAAACATCTTCTAATATCGATAGACATGTATGTAACAATCACACGAGAATCAAGAGGTTTGGTCATGAGAATCAAGAGAAATAGACTTTCATATCCGAAATATGGACAACATCCAATTCAAGTGATGCTTGTGGATGACAATTCTTAAGAGCCCATAAATATTTAATTTCATTGTAGATAATGGTGATCTCGATTTTTGGTATGACAATATGCCAACATTTGGCCGTTCTGTTCTTGTCCACTTTTTGATAGTTTCTACACATTTGGACAAATGTTAGGAGCACTGGCCTTATCCAACAGTGGGAGAGGTGGCCATGGAAATTCCGACAAGCAAGTTAGTTAATTATAAAAGCGTATTTAGGTGTGAAATGGACAATAAACAAGAGTCACGAAATCGTGTATGATAACCAAGTTTGAAGAAAAAAAGAAATTACCAAGCAAAGTCACCATTAAGGGTAATAACCTTTGAATGGTTTGTTCTTCTTTTTTCCTTATTTTTTTA